AGGCTTATGGTAGCAACAATTTCAAGCTTTCTATTTTTATTTTCTTTAACAACGGTTTCACTTTTTCCATGTGAACTGAGACAAAAATGTTGTGCTGTAGGAAAATAAAGTCTTTGATGTCTAATTCTCAACGCCATAAAATATCTTGCACAAAGAATCACTTTTAATTCGAAATTTTATCCTAGTCAGCCTCCAAAACTACTGCAAACTATCAAGTTTAACTTTACATTTTCTACAATCAAAGAAGTAATTTCACTATTTTTAGGTTTCAACTAAAGGGATTTCAAATTGCCAGCGATTTGATGCTAGGTTGAGCATTTTGAGATTGTCTTTTTCCGTGCTGTGTAGAACATTCCAGTAAAAGGTCACAACACTTATCCAAGAGACTCGCTGCAAGTGGTAACAAATGTTTTGCCATTCCATACGCTCTTGTACTGTTCTGGCAAACAATATTCCACCTAGAAAGAAGAGATTAGGAAAAAAAGATAGAATTGTTGGCCTTAATTTTTTAAAATTTTCCAACTACAAAAAAGCAGCAACAACAATTTCAAACAAACATAACAGCAACAAAACAGTTTAATTACATCTTAAACAACAATAAGAACAAGCAAGACATGGAATGAGTAGCATTTGATGACAGTCAACTATTTCAATCTGAACACCAGTGTCAAGTGTCCAACTAATGGGAGTAAAGTAAAATAATTTGAATGGAGATGATTCTGCCCAGGTTGTTGAACGTCAGTCACCACTACCACCAACAGTTTTTCTCAGGACTACACTCACCCGGACAATAACACCAAACTATCACAATTTAGAGCCACTTACCATATCATCCCCACCAGGCTTTGGCATCATGATATTCATCTCAGATGACTTGGCAGTCACAATCTCTGTGTTGCCAATGCCACTAGGAAAGAGCACTTGACAGCCATCAGTCTTATCAATTGACACTGTTGGAACCATGCCATTAATCTAGATGATAACAAAACCTGTCAGTTCATCATATTACCATACAGAAGTGAACACTGCTTCTTGAAAAGACTGCTGACCTTCCAGCCCTGAGGTATTACTTGCATCCAATAATTATCTGGAATTTGTCACTCTGAGGCAATTATAATGTGTGGTCCTTGTTATTTACCTGACACTGCATACTCTGGCAGTTGATAAACTCAACGGTGCCAATGGCATCCTCGAGAACCACTGCTGTTTTCTTACAGCCATCTGAGATTAAACACAAAGAAACACATCATTTAAAAAATAAATGAACATTGAGTAGAACTTAAATTGGTGTGATTCATCAGAAAAGGGGTTTGGTATTCCAATTGCATCAGATAAACTCTTCACCCTTCCAGTCCCAAGATTTCATTAGTAATTCTCCTTACTGTCTGCCACCCAATTTTTAAGATGTTAGTTTGGAGAATTTGGTATTTGATTAATTGAAAATCTCCTCACTGATATTTTTATTTATTCTCTCTTATTGACTGCTTGATATTGTATTGAAATTGTAAAGAAAATTCTGTCTTGGCCACTAATGGAAGTTAAAGGGGTTAAAATCTCAAAAAACTGACTTTACAAAGAAGCAAGTAACAAATTAAAACAAACGACAAATGGCTCACTATTTCAATATGCATCAGTATTGTTTCTCCCCTATCTTGGATAACACACTTCTCCAACAAGTTTCCTCTGTAACCTTTACTAGTCCCAGTTCTCAACAAAAGTACAGCTGTTAGGATGGGGGCTAAACATTATAGACCTTAGGACTTACCTACAACCAAGGAATTGATTTTGCCCTTGACCTGAATGGTGCTGTTCTTGCAGCAATAGATGTAAACTGTTTGTGATACTGATGGCTTCGCGATCACAAGCTCTCTGTTGTTTTCTTGAAATTCCTGGAAAACAAAATATCAGTTTGTCGTACACAAAATAACAGCCCTACTTAAAAGGCTATGGCACAAATTTTCAAAGTTCTTTTTAGCAAATGCCATAACTGATAGAAATGCATCGCTGGATGGCCAGGATATGGATGGGATGTTTCCGAAGCTACAAAAACTTCAACAGTAACAGACCCCTCTTTCTTCAGAACATATTAAGATAATGAGTTTTGAACAGACACAAGAATAACTTGCAAATTGGCATCACGTTCTCAGACTACCCAAAAGTTGGTGATTTCACATTGTTGTTTAAAACTGAATGTCCTGTAAAAGTGCAAAGTTTTTAAATCTAAAAGAAAAGCATATGTTTTTCTCATGAAATCTTCAGTTTTCCCAGTTCTGGATGCTACTGTCATGGTTCTCTTCATGTCGTCACATTTGTATTTCTGTTTAGAACTGCTGATAACATTACAATTAACTGACTACAATATCATCCAAAGTATGTTAAACTTACAACCGCCCACTTCTTCCCTTGCAGCTCAAACACTGGAGGTTTTTTGGCAGCTGCAGCTTTGGGCTTAGGGGCAACTACAGCTGGTTTTGGTTTGTCAGGAACAGGCCCAGTCTTTCTCAGTTCTTTGTTTTTGTGAGTCTTCTCCTCATCCTTTACTTTCCTAAGTCCTGTGTGGGAAGAAGAAACCAATAATTGTGTGTTCTTGGATCAGACATTTCCTTCTGACTTCCCTAATGACTGCAAGAAAGGGTTTTTTTAAAACAGCTCCATCCAGTTAAGTTCTGTTCTGCCAAAAGACTACCTTACTTTGTGGATGATTGGGGACTACATGCTAAACATCAAGCCCATACAGGGAGTTGAACTTGGAATCACTGGGTAACAACTGTACCTTATGAAAAGTCATTATAAACATATACCCAAAGAAATCCTGTTTCTTGGTTTGCAAATTTGCCAGGACATTTATAGGGCAAGTTAGTTAAACAAAGTTTCGCCCTTATTTAACAAAACAACAACCCTCAATTTACCCAAAACATTTATCTAAACATTCAACATTTGTGAACAGTTTCATGAGAGCCAAAAGCTAACAGAGGAAGGATATTTATTCAATTAAATCAATCTTCTTGTAGAGAAAGCCTGAGGCCCACTAATTTGGTAAAACCATGTTTTAGGTTAGAAATCATTTTAAAATAAACCTGCTCATAGTGTTTAACTGTTGAGGAGATGATTCATTCATTAACAGGGCTAGATAGTTGAAGTTTTGAAGGCACATACAAGGACCACTCAGAGGTTACAGGAAACTCACACAAATTTGACAATGAAAGTACACGTACCCGCAGCAATATTCATGCCTGCCTTGTTGATCTCACCAAATAATGCATTTGCAATATTTACATCTTGCCCTGAGGCAACAGGGGTAGGGGCTTGCACAGCAGGAGGGGGTGGGGGAGCAGGTTTACCAGGTGGGGGTGCCACAGACCCTGCTCCAGCTTTGGCAACATTTCCCTATTAAAAAATGAAGAACAACAAGAAAATCAGTGTCAAAGCATCAGCAGGGTAACAGCTGTTTGTACAGATCATTCAGTGAGTAAACCAGCCAGCCAGTCAGTTGGCTTATCAGTCAATTGGTCAGTCAGTAGCCACATTCATTTAAAAATTTCTGATGCAAAACTGGGAATGAACGAAGGGATTATTTTCTAGAAAGACCTTGGTTTTTGTGTTGTTTAAGATAACAGATGGAGGAATTACTTACTGTTTTACTCCACACCACACCAGTTGTGTGATGAGCCTTAACATATGCATGAAGGTCCGTAAGGGAATTTTTAAGACATTTCACCCACTCCACATGTGTTTCATCTCTGCCAAACAAAAATTTTATGACTTATCCAGTGAACAGAACTGTTTCACCACTATATAATAGGAATCAATTATTCAACAAAATTTCAAAAACTAACTGCTAATTGGACATATGATATTAATGATGCCTCAATGGTCATGTTGCATCACATTAAATTAAATTACATCACATCACATCAAATCACACCAAAATGACATACCATGGAATATCTAAAACTGACAAGTTTCAAATTTTTTTGACTTAAACACCCAGACTTACTTTCCTTTGAAGTCCTTCAACACTCGGTTCAGGTAGAACTGTGCTGCATCAACCATTTCTTTAACATGTGGAGCTGGAGTGGGGCTCTATCAGAATGGAATCAATCATGCAACTTCCCATTTTAGTTTGAAATCCAGAATGAATCATTAAAATCCTTTTTCACCTGATACTGTTATGAAGGATATTTTCTTTAGTACTGCACTGTACTATTCGCATTTCTTGCTTGTTTTAGATGTTTGTGTAATCCTATTGAAGTTTAAGATTGTACATAATTTTACTAATATGTACCCAGGGGTGTACCCAGGGGAAGTTGTTTTAATTTCTAAGGCTTTCTGATGAGTGAAGGGGGGGGAGAGGGAGTGGCATATTCAAGCGAAGGTCCTGTGAGAAAGGAGTTTGTTAAAATTATTTCATAATTAGGAGCCCAACTGTATATAAGGACTCAGCCATGTAGGAAAGCTATACAGAGAGAGCTACTGTGATATATTTCAGAGATTGTGCATTTCCAGGAGATTTGGAGGCAACTGTTAGTTGTGTCAGTGGTGAGCTAAGTTATAGTTTTTAGTGGGCTTAAGTAAGTTTATCAGGATAATTAATGAATAGCCTACAGGAGTTACTCTTTGGTAAGAGTATTTCATATAAAGTGGTTGGGTTTGTAGGAGCACACTGTTCTTTCTGATGGTTAAAATTGTATTGTAATAAAGATCCTGACTTTTCACTTACCACACTAACCCATCCAAGGGCAGGAATGGCTTCACTAAGGGCTGACAGGTGGTTGAAAAGCTTGCTTGCACGATTCTTCTCACGAAAACTCTATTAAAAATTTACATAGACTCTGGAAATTCCCAACAAGCTCAAAATACAATACAGTACTTTAAAACTTATCTTTCTCAAATTTCCCAGCTTTATATGCAATTAATCTTTCCTTTGTATTCATTGCCGCTAGCAAGAAGTGAGATTCACACAATTACAATCAACAAAATTAAATTTTAAACATCATTCATAACAAGTGATAATAAGGGTAATTTCTTTTATATCTACTTAACAGTATATAATTTTGAAGGTGCTCTCTGATGGGCTACCAAAACTCCAGGTATCTTCTGCTATTCACCTCTGGGCAACATGCACAAAATTTAAACTAACACAACTATTCATCTCAGTGTTGCTGGCTAACTTTGCGGCTTGGTAAACATCCACTATACACCACCTCCCCTTTGGTAAATAGTTGCTGAATATCAGTGCATTTACCTGTACTTCACCAATACAATCTGCCTGTGGTTTCAATATCTTCGCAAACTCATCCTGTTGATTAAAGTTCTAAATTTACTTTCCAACAGCTTATTTCCTGCCCCTTGAATTCAAAGATTTCCTTGTTTAACTTCTACAAATTAATTTTTGGAGCTATACCTATAATCCTTGCCGAAATTCTTGGCACACAGAACAAAATTATTGAAAACAAACATAATTCAAAACCTTGAAACCAACAGTAATTCTTTTCTTGCTCTGAACATTGGGAATTTATTTTGAAAATTTAACTCCAGAAAGTGATTAACATGTTACTTCTCTAGATAACATCCAACATTATCCAGTAATTTAGGTGACGAGAATACTCAAACTTATCGGTAGAATGTGTTCTTTTCATCTCACACCAAATTCTCAAAACTGGTTTACAAGAAAATGTGTAGCAGCTAGAGGGGAAAATTAACCAAATCTTGGGACCTAAAGGGTTAGGCACTTTATCATAATCATCATGGCTAGATCTTGTATGTCAGAGAAATCTGACATAAAAAATTTTCATATAAAATTGGAAATCTTCCACTTTTCCTTCTGTACTACAGAGATTTCTTTTGGTGTCTTTCTTTAATCACTTTGTTACCATGACCTTGACTTAATATCTGGAAAGTCAGGGGCACTGTAATTTTGGAAATTCCCCAATTCATTTGCAAGCCTGAGGCAGGGGGAAACAGTGTAATCCCTTATTGTCTGGAGTTTCTGGTCATGAAATGAGCAGCTTTTATTAAAAAAACAAACAAACAAACAAACAAACAAAACAAAACAAAACAAACCTGACCCTAATAGAGTGAAATTCATAATATAAAAGGTAAAAACACTCAAAGCAAATCTCCCCTGATGAAATAAATATAATTTTTCCTGTACTTACTTGACTGGGCTTTTGACACGTAGAGGCAAGCACAATAAATTCCCTTTGAGAATCAAACACTTTCTTAGCCAACTTTGCCTAGACAAGACAGATAACATATTTGTGAGTTGAAATACCCACAGCCTTATTAAAATCAAAGAAATCCATGACAAAAATAATCCATTAATACTGCCTAACAAGTGACAAAAATTTTAAATTCCCAGATGGGAATTCAAGCATAAAGCTTGGATGGGGAAGTGCTTTACAGGGTGTGGTTTAACCCTTCATACCCTGAGAGTGACTAGCATCTAATTTCTCCCTACAATTTCACTGCTGAATCACTCATTAAGGTCATGAGAATAAAGGAAATGATCACCAAAAGAGGCCTCATGAAAGAGGCTTTTGATTGGTAGACAAATTATCTTTGTCAGCACCTTAGGAAATGTATAAAGAACAATATCAAGAACATGTATATTGATGTTGGGGTGTAAAGGGTTAAAGAGTCCTAATTCTTACATGTGATATGCAATTTTACCATTTAGCATCCTAAATGATGACCTAGGCAGTACACTCTACCAGAAATTTCCCTGTCACAAGCGACAGGTCCATTCTTAGTGCCAGTTCGCAAGACAACCACACCACATAATCAGCACAAGGCATTTTGATCACATGAAACTGAAAGGTACATTTACATACATTCTTCTAACATAACGACAATGAATGAAGTGAATTTAAGTTGCATTCGGTATAACAATGTACATAATTATGACTAGGGATGCACTGATGGATCAACTTGGGAGTTGAAGTTAGCATCTGTGCATTACCTGGGTGTCTACATCGCCACCAATTTTGCTCGACAGCTTAAAAAATTCGGCCACGTTACCCTTAAGCACCTACGAAAACAGAAGCGATAAGTATATTTGAAATATTTTCATTCAATTTGCGAAGCCGAAAATATCTAAAATTTCAAATTCACAACAAGTAAGAAAGATCATGACCTTACAATTCTCTCTTCTAGTAAGAAGCAATTGTCACTTATTTTACCTGGTCGTACTCTTCAACAATAACTCCCAAATCTGCAATTTAAAGTCAAATCCTTTAATCACACTCAATCTAAACTACGTGTCCTAAAAACTCTCTCCAATATAAAATTTCCGTCTGAAGTAACGCTATGCTTTCAGCGAACTTTCAAACCTGCTGGTTCTCCGCCGCCGGCCTTGTCAGCTGCAGCTTCTAAACGTGATGTGACTGCTTCAAGACGAGCTACAAGGGCACTCAAGTCACCAGACATCTCAGAAGTTTGCTACAACAAAGAGAAAAACTGCGTACTTTACGACAAGCTTCTGCAAGGAAACCAACAGATTAGTTGAGGGAGGGGTGAAAAATATTACACAGTTTTCCTAATATGGTAATATGGTCTGTTGGATTCTTAGCTTTCCTGTCAGCGGAATAAATAATACGTCAGATAATTTTATTGAAGTATCGTCAGGAAACTAACTTAAAGGAAATAATATTGAACCTACAGTCCAATACTTTTTTCCCCTCGTTTTTCACTTTCCTTGGATTTTTCTTCACATGGTAAACTTAATTAGTTCGCTCTTGTTCACGTCTGCTTGTTTTTAATAAGACATACATACAGTCGATATAAAAAAATACTAACGGGGGAGGAAAGGGTTGAGTTTTTTATTCGCCCCAGTTTCTCTCGCCAAAAAATTATCCAAGATGGCTGCTTAAATGTACGCCTTTTATGCAATCAGGGACGTTTTCAGCGCAAAAATTGTTTGCGATATGAAATGCATGATGAACCTACCTGGAAGGTATGTATATGTCTTATTTTCTAAACTTTTCTATTCAGGAAATGTTGAAAGATATGATACGATGTATAGTTTTATTACAGCGAGATTAATTCCACAAATCATTCCAATTCCTTGGAACAAAAAAACAACGTTTACAACTTTTGATTTTTAACTCTTTATAAAATTACTATATTCGAGGGAATGAACCCACATACCACGAATAGTAGGTCTTAAAGTGTAACCCTAGAATATTCTTTTCTCGCTCAATCGCTCATGAACAATATTATAACACCTATGCTATGGTTTAGATTTCACGCGCTTTTTCCCGCCATATCCTCAAACCCCCTACCCCCGAACGCTCAACCCAAACGATTCCGTTATGACACTTTAAGTCATAGTAATTTCTCTTTTTTTTATAGCGAAATTTTCGGGTAAATTAATGAATCGCAGCTGCTTGCTACAATGTCAATATTTAAAGATGCTAATGATTCCATCGTCATTATCAATTCCGCGACCTCGTTATAAAGGTCTATTGCAATTTAGGAACTCTCTTAAAATAATACAACTCGCTCTTTTACTTGTGTAGTCAACTTGAAACCATTTTTGGCATATTTAGCTTTTTCATACACTCTCCTCCTCCCCCCCCTCCCCCACGACATTGAAAGCTTTTAATGAAAAAGCACCCCACGGAAAATGCGCAGGGGTTCCTTCAAATCACCCCTCGGGATATCATCTGATACTGAAATATGTTGTACCTTGCGAAATTTTGTTTTTAAAATTACTTTTCTCAAAATTGCCTTGAAATTTACACCAATCTTTGGGTCCTTAACTTGTTTTTATTTTTTGTTCTTGTTTTTGTCGGTTCCTTTTACAGTTTCTTTGTACATATACTGGCACAATCGAAATCATCTGCCCTCTCCCGTCGGTTCAGTATTCGTTTCCAGGTCTCACACGAACGTAAAAGAAAACTGTTAACACCTTCCCTAGACTTCAAGAAAATTCCTGGTAACCTAGTGGTACGTTGCCCCATGGTCAGATCGCTTCTAATTAAATGACTTCGCTCCATGCCATAACTTTATCTTGTAACACATTCGGCATTTCTTTCCAAAGTTCTTTCCCCACTTATAATCAGTGGTTCTAATTCGCGATAATCGAGTTCTTTCTTCTAGTAGTTGTAGTTAATCTACATGGTTTTATGGCTCCCTTTTATGGGGTGTAAGTATCAAATGATACTCTTTTTATCAAGTATGCTTATTACATTTAGTAAACGGCTGTGAATATATGAAAGTCATATATTTGAACTGCGGATAAAGACGTGAATATGAAAGTGATCTTCGCAGTAATGAACACTACTTGAGCCGTAGTAAAAATAAGGCCTGAAAAATTTATTCAGGCCTTATTTTCACTACTGCTCAAGTAGTGTTCATTACTGCGAAGATCACTTTCATGTGTACATTTTGTAACTAGATTATTTGCGTGATATTTTCGCAAACAGATAGCAAACAGAACACTTTGAAAATTTCGCTCTTCCAATCAGCCTTCGGGGGCGTCCACTCAAATATAACTTGCCTTTTCCCTTGTACTGGGCTTTAAGTTATTTTCGTGAGTTCCAAATCAATCTTCAATCGATCTTTTCTCGGGTTTAAATGATCACGAAAAAAATGCATTTGACACAGCCCAGCTAAGCTCACACTAAACCCAAGCGCAATATGCGAACTTATGTTAATACGAGGTGAGAATTTTAGCTAATGAATAAACATCATTTCGATCTGAGCGGGGTAACTTGACCACGGGGCGTAGTAACCGTTAAAAGGGCCATCTATTGGTGGCACGATTTTGAAAAATGTCATTTTCAAACTGCTAGGTCTCAGGGTAACTAAATGTAGAATATAATCAAGCTCGCTGACGAATTCTATGACCATGTCGACGGGCCGTCTAGTTTTAGGTTTCGTGAGGAGTTTAGTTGGTGTAAGACTTGTCTCAAGTAGATGGCCTTGGTCACTGTGTTTAAGATAGAAATGCAATTCAGAGCTTGTTGCTATACTGAAATTTGTTATACAGCAATCTTTTCTTTCGCTATTTTGTCTCGGAATTTTTTAGTCATAGCTGGTGCCAGCCGGCTGTGTATTGTTTTCGGATAGCATGAGCTATTGTGACTATAAGTCCTCGATAGCCAATGTGGTCAGTGAAACGGGATTTTTTAGTCACTGCTGGTACCAGCCGGCTGTGTGCTATTTTCTCAATGCGTGAGCTACGGTGACTTTATGTCCTTGATCGCCAATATGATGAGTGGCGCTCAGTTGTTAGAAAGTCGAACCGCTAAATTAAAAGATTCCTGAACGAGACAGATTTTCATTGTTCCTTTGAGGCACGTTCCTGAAAATTTTCCACAATCTTCCCTCTTTCGAATATCGAACACAACACAGGTCACAAGCCGGCCATGTCTCTCAATCCATTTCCACACAGCGCGCCTTCGAATTAATGTCGACCCAATCAGTGAACAGAACGCCTGTTACAATGAACTTAGTACGCACACTGCCTCAATAACACCGACATCTTTATTATTCAAGTGTAAAGCTGTAGAAGGACAATCGAAATACTGGGATTTGGTTTGGAATTTTCTGCCTTGCAATACTTCCTCTAATTTTTTAGTTTTCGTGAAAGCTGATTCCTCTTCTCCATAGCAACCAATTTCCGCGTCGGCCATGATCAGAGATATTATTGTAACGGATACACTGTTACACAGATCTCGTTGTCCGGATACATCTATGAGCTAAGAAAAATCCGTCTCAGCAGTGTTTTGTGTAGGAAATCAGCTTTTCCTCATTTCATGCATAACTTGCATTCACAGCGCTGCAAGGAATCTTTTAAACACGATCCAGCTTTGTTTAAAGTAAACAAGCCGGCGAGTGCAAACCGTTGGAGAGCAATCCAAATTCAATAATACTGTCGTTGTTTGGAAAGGATTACTTCAAATTATTAACCTAATCCGGTAGGCCTTAGTTTGTCTGATTTTTCCGACGTTAAAAGAATTAATCAACATTTCGTGTGGCAAGCAGGCAGTAAGCAAGGGATTGCAAGCTTATTGTCTTTCAAGAACATTTTTAATCCTAATAGCTTAATGGTTACAACATATGGCTGACTTCTCGTTTTTTATTGCCCAATATTTCGGGTTTTAAGAGAAGAACAGTGAAGTAACGACAAATTTTGGTTTATTTTGGAACGGTGAAGTGTCCTTAATATTTTCAATTTCCTTTTAATAACTAACTTTGATAGTTTATAATTGAGTGATGATTTTTTTCCTTTTGACAAACTACTTGTGATGAAAGTTTCGTTGAAACATCAATTTTCAGAAGTTCCATTTGAATAAGGAACAAGGAATCATTTTCTTCTTACGTTGCTAGAAACATCGAAGATATACAGAAAACATCTTTTATTTAAACGTCAGAAGCTCTTATGAATAATAAAAATGAGATATGCAAACACGAGAACAAATTGATTTTCAATTTGTTTAAAGAGTTATAATTATATCAAATTTAATATCAATAGATTGACTGATTGTACACATGGGGTAAATTTGTGGATTTTTTGTTAGCAGTGTATTAATTTCGGGTCGTGCTTTGAAGCATTATCCAGGAACTGCTGCACACGATTTAAATTATTCAACGAAAACTTCAAAATGCTAAAATTCGAGGCAAAAAAATTTTGAAACGTCATTTCTCTCCTATAAAAAGCTTTTACCTAACAACGTAGGCTGTTTGTAAAAACAATTTCGACGTCATCCGGCTTGGATGACTTTGGGGTTTCGACCTTTCTGCAGTACCGCTAGAAAACGAACAACGGCTTTCATTGCAAAAAGAACAACACTGATCTCCATTGACACGCTTGCGGTTCCTGTTTGGTGATTAAATGTTAGTAGCGCTTTTGTTTTCGATCAAAGCACAAAGAGAGGGTTTAAGACATCTGTGAGGCGTAATCTTTAAGTTTTAAACCTCCATCGTGTAATCAAGATCACGTCTTTTGTTTCCAATGCCCCAGGCTAGACAATTTGCTCAGCGGTAGACAATATTCATGTCTTGCACTTTTCATTGAAAGAAATATACTCCTAACTAAAGCGAGATAGCGAAATAAATGAAATTTGTTTCATGTATCCTTGCATCGATATTAATATGCCAATAAGCCATACCACAGTGCCTAGAATAACCTTGAAAGCAACCGATTTGACGAGTATATGCGGGTGTTTTCATTTTCTGTCAACTTGTGAACTGTTCGACATCTTCGGCATCAGCCAGATAGCTCTTTCCTCTGAGTAAAAAAAAAATTGCAATATGTGCCGGTAACGATCGCTGATGCCCTCTTCCCGTTGAATAAAATCCTATCAGCTAGACGATCAAAAGGATAAACAAAAACCTGCTATGAAAACTAAAAATATCGACTTTTCACGACGATACGATCATAAACATATCGGCTCCCAAATTATGTTCTCAGTCAGGACTCTCATTGAAAACGGTTTTACCGTAATAAAAGCTTGTAATTCCCTTAAGATTGGTGGCACAATTTTTTTTGGGCGCCTTTTTGTAGAAATGTTAATATGGATT